ACAGAGTCTCAAGCTATCCCCCTGGGTAGAGTGCCATGGCATCACAGCTCACAGCAACCTCCAACTCCTGGGTTCAAGCGAGTCTCCTGCCTCCGTCTCCCAAGTAGCTGGGAACAGAGGCGCCTGCCAAAACGCCTGGCTATTTTTTGGTTGCAGCTGTCATTGTTGTTTGGCGGACCCGGGGTGAATTCGAACCCACCACCTTAGGTGTATGTGGCTGGCGCCTTAGCCATTTGAGCCACAGGAGCCGAGCCACTGCCGGATTCTTTGTTATGGACACCTGCATATCTTATGAGAGGATGAGAGAATGGAGAGGAGTGGTATCAGAACCCTGGATCCTAGCTGGGCGCCTGTGGCTCAAGAGGCTAAGGCACCAGCCACATACACCTAAGGTGGCAGGTTCAAATCCCCAGCCCGGCCCGCCAACCAACAATGATGGCTGCAACCAAAAAAAAAAAAAAAGGCGGGGCATTGTGGTGGGCACCTGCAGTCCCAGCTACTCGGGAAGCTGAGGCAAGAGAATCACTTAAGCCTGAGAGTTTGAAGTTGCTGGGAGCTGTGATACTACAGCACTCTACTGAGGGTGACAAAGTGAGACTCTGTCTCAAAAAAAAAAAGTCTAAGATAAAAGGTTAGATAAGTTTAAAAAATTCATTTATTCCCTTATTTTAGTGAGAAACAGAGTTTGAGATGATATATATTAAAAAAAAAACACTAGCAGAACAGCTTTGCGACCACATTTCAGCCTATATATTTTAAATATATTTAGAGATTTCCTTTGCTAATCCATACCTAATTTACTTACTCTTTTCACATGACAAAATGCCAATTTCCTATCATAGTTATCAATGACCTACTATAATGCTAGTTAATAATTATATTATAGTTCAATACTTAGCTATATTATTAATATATTTTGAAATATGTACTTGTATATAAATACTAATATATACTTATATTTCAAAACATATTTGAAATATACATTTCTATTTATGCTAATATAAAACAAAATATAAATTTATACTAATTATTAACACTTTATAACACTATAGAAAATAGCACCATTGTATCTAAAATCAAATAAGTTAGTTGACATTCATTTCTCTGGGGGAAAATGTCTACATCCATCCTCCGTATGTTTAAGGTAAAAATATCAAATAACCCAATGTCCAATTTCACACTTCTTCTCTTAAAAGCTACTGGAAATAGTTTTAAATTACTCATATATTTTTGTCAACTTGTGGTATTTACCCCTTTTTCCTAAATTAAAGTAAACCTGTATCCAACCCCAAAAGAAAGCCTTGTATCTTTTTTTTAATTTTTTTGCAGTTTTTGGCCAGGGTATGGTTTGAACCCGCCACCTCCAGCATATGGAGCCAGCGTCCTACTCCTTTGAGCCACAGGCGCCGCCCAAGAAAGCCTTGTATCTTTCACAAATATTTTTATGTAAACATTCGGTTCAATGGTCTAATGATACCTTTTGTTCCACCTTCAAAAACTGAGCCAGTTCTTCCACAGTTAGATGATCTTTCTTGTCACTGTAGCTCAGGAGCAACAGATAAAGGTCTCGTCTCAAAGACATCATTTTGTAAAAAACACAAAACTCTTCAAAGGTCAGAGTTCCCTGATTCTCATCTGTGTCAGCTTCCTGAAAGAGACAGAAAAAACAAGGCCGTAATAAGAGTTTGAAATAGGACATCCAGTATTGGGAAATAACGTGCCCTACAAAAAGCTGGTACACAAATTACAGGTGGGGAACACACAGGCTCCTCAAGCACACACAGAGCGTCATAAAAACTGACTATATGTTAAGCCGCAAAGAAAGTTTCAACAAACTTTTAAAAATCAGCCTGATACAAACCAATGTCTCTGACTTCAGTAAATTTATAAATCAATAAAGAACACTAAAAAGAAAACTGTAGAAATAATATAACACATTCTAAATGGAAAATAAAATCCATGTCAGTAAACAAATCACTGCATATTAAAACTGGTAGGATAAAGTAATAGGAATTAGAAAGAAACTTGAAGTTTTAAATGTATTAGAAAGCAGATTTAGAAGTTAATAACTTTAAAAGCTAGGAAACAATTAAGCCAAAGGAAATAGAAGGAAATGTAAACAAAACCAGAAAGCAATGAAATAGAAATAATACAAAGGCAGCAAGAAAACCAAAGGCTGGTTTTTGAAGAAACTACCAAAAAAGAAGTATCTTGAACAAGACTCATCAAGAACAAAAGAACTTAAAACCTGATGAAAATACCACCCTCTCATCAGTTTCTGTGCTGCAATCCAATCAGATGTGGTTTTTACCTATAAGAGAATCTTATTTCTCCGAGGGTAGATCTGATGCTCTCATAGCCGTCAGCATCACTATGATGCTTTCCTCCATAGAAAAGCCTGAATAACCCATCTGTACTAATTTCTAGTTGAAATTGTTTGATTCTAGTAATTATTGAGCAAGAATCTTTTACTATGTACCTGATTGATTGATTTTTGGGGGGGGGGGCAGGTTTTGGCTGGGGCCAGGTTTGAACAGGCCACCTCCAGGATATGGGACCAGCACCCTATTCCTTGAGCCACAGGCGCCGCCCTTACAAAATCATAAAACTATTTGAAATACATAATGAGTAAATGACCCATTTCCATGATCTTCATTCTAAGTGAACACAACTGTAACTGAACAAAAACTGATAGGGAATGAACCGCATTTGAAATGCATACATTTTTATGAAGTATAGTCGGTTGTTAAGCAGTTTTACACATAACTTTAAAAGCCAAAGTGCACATAAAAAATTGGGAGAAAAAAAACTTTGCTAAACTTTGGTTACTTATGAGCAAACACTCCTCTTTCATTTTAAAGATAGCGGTTTGAATATCAACGCTTTAGAGGCAATTCCCTTAGAAAGACTATGCATCCTAAGAAACTGGGTCTAATGCCCCAATTACTGCTTAACTTTGTTTCAAAATATCTGATCTTGGACACAGAGATGAAACACTTTTCAAGACTTTTCCATATAAATGTCTAATACAATTAAGAATAGTAAAACTCTAAGGATTTTTTTAATACCTCAAAAGATTCCTTTAAAAGTATCAGTTGAATCTTTCACTAAACAAGAAGGCAAAGAGAAGAAAAAGAAAACTCCAAGAAGGCTTTCATGTCTTCACCAGCAATATGCTCAAAAGAAAGAGAATGTTGCTAAAATAATAATCCTTCGTCCGACTACTCTGACCATGAGCATTTTTACCGAACCCTGCTAGACACGAAGCCCGTGATGGACAGAATATTTATGCAGCAGATACAACTCCTTATCCAGTCATTTCTAGCTTGATAAGTTTTGACATTTAGGGCCAAAAAAAAAAAAAAGGCTATTAATGTTTCCTTAAAACTTGTGTAAAAGATTTACTTTGAACCCAAAAGCCATTTGGCATAAACCTTTCCCAGTTCACCCTCTCAAACTAAGTGCATTAGAGATAAACAGGTGTCTGGATGGGGAAAAATACAGAAGTAAAAATAATTTAATAGCTTATGTTATGTACTTCCTTATCTTGCTTCCAAAAAGTACCCCCCACCCCCAAAATCATTACTTTTACAGGTATAGACTTTGCCCTCCTATATAGACTTTTCCATGACAGCAGGAGCTACCAGAACAGGGCAGACCTTTCCACGTAGTTTAAAGATAATCTGCTCTGTTGGTGACAACACATTTCCACTCTGCCTGTCCATCTCTGGGCTCCCCTATATAGCAGGGGTCCTCAAACTTTTTAAACAGGGGGCCAGTTCACTGTCCCTGAGACCATTGGAGGGCTGGACTGCGGGCCCCAGGACAAGTTGACTGCTAAGCAGGACAGGCAGTGGCAGCAAAAACACCCGGCAGGCCGGATAAATGTCCTAGGCAGGCTGCATGTGGCCCGCGGGCCGTAGTTTGAGGACGCTGGCTATATAGCTTTCTCACTCCTTCCTTTCCCTCCATTCTCTCACATTCTCTAGCACAAGGGGACCCAGCTCCCCACAATGCAAACCACGTCCAACCAGGGACAGGACCACCTTAAGGGCTCACAGAACAGAACCAGCTTCCGTCTTCCACCAACTCTTGCTCCTCAGACCTCGTGCTGTTTCTGTTCTTACCAAGGTCTAAGGACAAGTGGTTAGAAAACAAGGGAAACCCGGAGCACCGAACATCGTATTGCCCTCCGAAGCTTATTTTCATATGTGCAAAGTGTCACCTACCTCATCACTTAGAAAAGAAAATCACTGCAAAGTATGGATTACGCTTATGACTTACTTCCAAATAACAACTTTTATAAACTAATACGCTACTAATTCCTAACAGTCTAACATGGTCTTTACACAGATTTAAAATTTAATAGAACTCATTTCTGCATCTAAGACTGAAAACTGGGCTCAGCGCCTGTGGCTCAAGCGGCTAGGGCACCAGCCACATTCGAATCCAGCCCGGGCCCGCCAAACAACAATGATGGCTGCAACCAAAAAATAGCCGGGCGTTGTGGCGGGCACCTGTGGTCCCAGCTACTTGGGAGGCGGAGGCAGGAGACTCACTTGAGCCCAGGAGCTGGAGGTTGCTGTGAGCTGAGATGCCACGGCACTCTACCCAGGGGGACAGCTTGAGGCGCCTGTCTCAAAAAAAAAAAGACTGAAAACTGAATATTAATACAATCCCAGCTGGATGCCACAGAAGAGGTTTGGGCCCAAAGATTTCCGTCCATGACTTATCAACAGGGAAAGAGCATTTGAACTAACATCAATCAGCAGTTGAATGAATTTCTGGAGGGCTCCCTAAATGGTAGGAGTGATGAGCACTTCTAAGCCCCATGGATTGAACTCAAACAAAATACAGAACTCTTAAAGTGCAAGACAAGTGCCATTTTCATCACCTTACTTAGTCTCTATTCTGATCCTTACAATAGCCCTGGGGGGCAGGCAAACATTCCTGTCTTTTCACTGCATTGGGTTTACTCCATTATTTAAGTGTCAGAAAAAGCCTACAATTACTCTCTGAAAACAGCAACAATAACAATAATGTATTTTAGGAAGTCAAATTGTAGATGCATGCTAAATTTATAGATTTTTTTTTCTGATGAATTAAACTGCCTCTGTTCAGACTAAACTAATATATAAATAAGCCAATGTGTATCACACAAATAATGATTACAAGGTACAAGCATTTTATGAGGATTTTAGTTCTGACTAGAGACGTAATATATACACAGGAGGGCTTCCAAAATAACTTTTCCTTTTCACCCACCCCCCAAAAAATCCCAACTCCTTCCATCCTCTCCATCCATGACCTCTGGAAATCACTAATGTGTTCTCCATTTCTATAACTTAGATATTTCAAAATGTCTTATGAAGTATGTGACCTACAGGAACTGGCTTTTTTTACTCCACAAAATTCTCTGGAGATTCACACAGGTTGTCGCACATACCAATGTAGGCTGTTCATTTTTATTGGTAAGTAGTATTCAACAGTTATGCATGGACCACAGGTGTTTTGACCATTCATCCTTTGAAGCCACCTGGGTTGTTTCCCGTATTTGTCTATTATGAGTAAAGCTGGTATGAACATGTGTGTGCCAAAAGCCTCTCTTCATTAAAGAAAAATAAAGCAGTAGGGGGCATGTAATATTAACACCCAGTAAAACAATGTAGTCTTTTAATATACCTAAGTACATCGATAACTTCTGTGTATTTTAAAAAGGTCTGACAATTAAGTTCATGAACATACCACCATGCATTTACATTGGCTGCCCTGTACAAACAGCTCAGGGAGGCTTCATAACCTTGGTATATCAATGCCTCACAGTTGTGTTCATGTCGATGTGTGCTGGTGTCTCGCTGAGTGGTGTTCATTATTGCTGTTGCATGGTTTTGTGTGATGTGAGAATGTTGGAGCTTGAATTAGAACAGCAGACAAACCTTTGTAAATTTCTTGTTAAACTTGAGAAAAGTGGAAGTCAAATCAAGGACACGTTAGTTCAATTTTATGGGGATAATGCCGGGGGGAAAAAGGGCAGTATACAAATGGATTAAACATTATTCTGAGGGGAGAAAAGTGTCACTGATGAAGAAGGTGAGAGTGGCCAGTAATGAGCAGAACTGATGAAAACATGACAGAAATTCATGGAATTGTGTGTCAAACTCCTTAGCTGATTGTGAGAAGCATCGCCAACCAAATAAACACCAATAGAGAAACAGTTAGGGAAATCTTTTTGCTTTTTTTTTAATATGTATCTTTTTTCCTCTCCTTTTTTATCTTTATTAAGTCATAAATACATACATCATATATACATTAATGCATTTATGGGGTACAATGTGCTGATTTTATATACAATTTGGAATCCTTACATCAAACTGGTTAACATAGCCTTCATCTCACTTAATTATTATGTTAAGACATTTATACTCTACACCTAATAGATTTGACACGTACCCTTGCAATATGCACCATAGCCATGGTCCCACCATTTACCCTCCTTCCATTCAACCTCCCCCATCCCCTCCTATCCCTTCCTCTTCCCTCCTTCATCAGTTAGGAAAATCTTAGCTGAAACCCTTGGCCAACAACTCATGGCTCTTGCATCACAACAATGCACCAACTCACATAGCACTGGCTCTGAGGGAACTGTTAGTCAGTAAACAAATAACTATATTGGAACACACTCCCTACTCCCCGATCTGACCCCCAATAATCTTTTCTTTACTTGAAGATAAAATAAATATTGATAAGAAGACATTTTGATGACATTTGGGACATCAAGGGTAATATAACAACAGCTTTCACAGCCATTCCAGAAAAAGAGTTCCAAAATTTCTTTGAAGAATGGACTATGCGCTGCTATCAGTGCATAAATTCTCAAGGGGAGGATTTCAGAGGTGACCATGGTGATATTCACCCATGAGGTATGTAGCACTTTTTCTAGGATGAGTTTGCAAACTTAATTGTAGGTTCTCATATAAAGGCCGATGAGGTCATGAAAACTTACCTGAAACATCTGTCTGACTTTTCTTCGGGGCAGATTAACATTTAGTTTATGCATCAGTTGGTGGATCTCTTCAATATTCAATAAACCATCACCATTTTTATCAGCTTCCTCAAAGGTCTGCTTCACCCACATGAGAAAGGTCAAAGAAAAAACTTGCGTTCTCATCAGAATAAAAATTGATCTTTCATAGAATATGCAAAGATATTTATCAGTAACACAGAACTTGAAATTCTTTGGGAAGGCCCTGCAATCCATAGGCTCTAAAACGCTACTAGTAATGACAATAATAACAAATTAGCAGTGTGGGGAGGAGGCTGGGTACAGGTGGTTCTCTCCATTGTAAAATAAAAGTCAAACCATATTATTTTGAAAGCTTCTTTAATTCAAACGTTATCTGATCTTATCCAAATAAAATAGCAAATCTATTCTTTAAAAAAATACCAGATTTTATCAACCATAAGAGAAAAAAACCATGTTACCGATTCTAATTTCACTCCAGCAAGAAGACAGCATCTTAATTCACATCTTCATTAGCAAAATCCATAAACATAAAACACGTCTGTATGACCTTATACATTATACCTTTTTACTTCTCATTTCCCGGCCAGTTTTTCTCAATTATGCTGCCACATTCATAACACAAGATTTTCATTCATAAGGTTCAAGTTCTTCGTGTATGAGGCATATGCTGTAGCTGGCATGTACCAAGAATGCCCCAGAATTGTAGCTCTCACACACCTTCTGTGAAAAAATCTCTTCAGGATGAAACCCCAAATTTAGCAAATTTAGACCTTCTCTTTTCCTATGCCTATTCGCCTACTATCTTTTTACCTCCACAATGTCCCTGGTACATGATCCTTTCAATTCTCTTTTCTCAGCCCCACTCCTATGTCTAGGAAATTAGACCCTCTAGTTCAGTCTCATCATTGTTCAGATAAAGATACAAAATGAAGTGAGAGGGAGAAATTTGATAAGAATTAGAAAGAGAACCGCATTCAAAACCAGGTCTCGTGCACCCTAGTCCAGTGTTCTTTTCCCCTACACGAGGCCTGTCTCTGTACTATGTTCCTCTTCCGATTACTAGCATTGATGGTTTCTACCTAATAAACAGGCCCAAACTTCTATATCCTTGAAGTACAAGCCTGATATGCTAGGGGGTACCCTCAAAGCTCAGGTACAAGACAAGGCAATTGAGAATATGAAGTTGAGTTCAGAGGTAAAGGATTGCCATCATATGAACTAAAATTTTTAAAGATCCTCATTGGAATGAGCCTTGGGTTGTTTTACACAGTGGGGAGGCAGAATAAATGGTAATAAATAGGTGAGCTAAAAATTCCCACTTAACTTCTAGCAAAGGAGTTTTTTAATGGATAATTCATAAGTGTTGAGAGGTTACAGAAGGCAGGAATTGCGTTTACACTTGGAAAGCAGATTGAACTTCAAAGTGTGAGGGGTAATGAAGATGAAAGAATAAAGGGAAGAGAAGAACCCAGAGAATTAAATTAAGGGGAAAGCATAGGTTTAAAACCAAGAAATGGGAGAATGAGGACACACATCAGGGTAAAGGGTCCACGGGCAATATTTGCTTATTAAACAGATGACACCAACTGAGAGATTTCCATTTTAAGCTGAAATACTAATTAACCTTCCAGTGCTAACACAGCATATTTCCACTTCTTCTGTGATTCAAATTATGACTGTAGGAGAGAGATGGTGCCTTGGAAAGCAAAATCAACCAGAAAGGTAAAGTCCTACCCCTTGTAAAGTTAAACAGACTGTAAATACCTCGTTTCACACTTCATTTCCTTTAGAACATTTGAATATAACTAGCCCGGCTCTTTCCGTTTCCATTTTCCCTCATGCACTTCAGTCAGGACCTCGTTACACAGGCCGCCTGGAAGTTGAAGAGCAACCAGACCAAGGGAAAAAATAACTAAAGAATCCAAAGGGTGAAAGATCTGGGCCATTTGCTAATAGGTCCTTGAATATCATTTTTGAGCTCTCTGGGCACATAGCTCCAATGTGGTGAGCTCCGTTTCCTTTGACTGCGGATAATTCTCTGTGCCCCACAAAGTATTTGGCTGGAGTCCAAAGAAGTGGTGAAGTAAGTCCAATGACAGCAAAATTTTTATCCCTTAATTCTAATTCTTTACCAAAGCCTCTCAAAGACTTCTCCAAAGAAGTCATAGCCATGTCCTTAGCCACGTCCTACTCCACAGATACAAACCCTTTGGAATGGGCCTGTGTCACCAAGGTCTTTAGCACCTACACATAAACTGGCCTTAACAACTGGTCAGGGCTCGGCACCTGTAGCTCAACCGGCTAAGGCGCCAGCCACATACACCTAAGGTGACGGGCTTAAATCCAGCCCGGACCCGCCAAACAACAATGGCTGCAACCAAAAAATAGCCGGGCATTGTGGCGGGTTCCTGTGGTCCCAGCTACTTGGGAGGCTGAGGCAGGAGACTCGCTTAAGCCCAGGAGTTAGAGGTTGCTGTGAGCTGTGATGCCACGGCACTCTACCCAGGGGGACAGCTTGAGGCTCTGTCTCAAAAAAAAAAAAACAATTGGTCAGAAGACATGGGACTGGCAAGGCAGAAATAGAGGTGAATCAAACCTGGAAATACACTCTAGTCCTAACTCTACTGCTAACCTGAGCCTGTGACAGCGAGGCCCTCATGTCACCTCTTGGAGCCTTTGTTTCGTCATTTGCAATTCAGGGAACACAACTTTCAACTCAAATCTGTTCTAAATGGATACTTTTTATTGCTTAAAACACCGTTAGCACGGTTTCTGCCGCTTGCACCAGAAAGCATTCCTACTGATCAAACATTTTTGCTTTATTTTTTAGCAAATGTTAGAGTTATAAACCAAAGGAAAAGATTAAAGCATAGAAAATCAGCTCCTGTGTTTGTTTTGCTCATTTATGAATCCCAGTTGCCTTTATCTGCATACTGTGAATATTGACAAAAACATCATGGCTCATCAACTCAGATGTTCATGCTGTCAAGATCCTTTCAAGGGCTGAATATTTCCATTCTGCTCCATCAATGTTCTGTGTGATAGATGATAGCTGGAGTAGCACAAATTCATCACTGACTCCCGGAAAACCTCAGGGCACACATCCCAAAGACAGCAAGGAAGTCGTACTACTCCTGACGCGAATATGGGGCACCTGTATTCTAAGGCCGTTGCAAATGTGAAGAAGGAAACCAAAGCAGTCGACTAGCCTGACACCTCACTCTACAGATAAGGACGTTGAGGTCAGAAAGGCCTCGCCACACGCCTGGCTTCATCCCAGCTGGAAGGACGCCTTCAGACCAAGAGCATTAATTGTTTTCCTCGCCAGCACTGCAGGACCCCAAGAATGGGTTTAATCAAGAATGAGACTTAGATTCCAGTTGCTCAAGCAATTTAGAGAGGGTAAATGTTATTAAGTAAAAAAATCACTTCCCCTGGAGTATCAGTCAGTTCAGTTTCCAAACTCTAAGTTAAAAAAGAGAGACAAAAAGCAGGAAGAAGCTTGGTGCTTGGTACATATTTGGAACTCATAAAGTATTTGCTGAACTAAACCAACTTTATAACAAAATACGATCTTCTATGAGCCAAATTAGTGCTTTCCCAGTTACAGTTAATGAGCACTCCAATAATAAAAAAAAGGCAATGGTATTTAACGGGCACTCATCTCTCTAGGGAAACTCGGCCATATTTGAAGATGTCTCAGATTGTGGGGTAGATTCAGTCTCTTAAAAATTCTGCTCCCAGTGGTGCCTGTGGCTCAAAGGGGTAAGGCACCAGCCCCATATGCCGGAGATGGCGGGTTCAAACCCTGCCCCAGCCAAAAACTTTAAAAAAAAAAGAATTCTGCTCCCAGCGAGGCACAGTGGCTCACACCTGTAATCCTAGCACTCTGGGAGGCTAAGGCAGTTGGACTGCCTAAGCTCAGGATTTTGAGACCAGCCTGAGCAAGAGCGAGACCTCATCTACAAAAATAGTCAGGGTTGTGGCAGGCACCTATAGCCACAGCTACTCGGGAAGCTGAGGCAAGAGGATCACTCAGAGCCCTGAACTTGAGATTGCTGTGAGCTATGACATCATATCACTCTACCCAGGATGACATAACAACACTCTGTGTCAAAAAAAAGACTTCTGCTCCTGAGTTCATGCAAACTAAAATCTCTATAAGTTCATATATTCATTTACTTGGGGTGAAAGTGAAGAAAGGAGAGAAATGTGCTGAGGGTAAAGAAAGAGACAGGAAACAAAATCACATGAACAAGCAAAGCACACTGCACACGCCGCACACACAGATCAAATAAAATCCCAGCAAGGATATTGGTCATGGGTCCTCTGCCTCTTGGCCAGGGAGTCTTCATCACTGATGCCAGCCATCAGGTACTTGAGGCCTGTGATCCAGGTACGGGCCTCCTCGGGGTTGGAGGTGATGAGGTCCAGGGACTCCATGTGGTTGCCATGGTAGATGGTGAAGCAGCAGCTGGGGTCAAAGTTCCCCTCAGCTTGTCTGTGGAATATTTCAGACTGCCGGCCCTCGGTGACTTTGTAAATGGAATCGATAAGTACTGCGAGGGAAGCGAGATACCCAGTTATGGAGCAGGTGAGATACTCATAGAGACTAAGAAATGAGAAAAACAAGACCATGTCAAATGTAAAAAATACATAAGAAAAAATTGATTATCTGTACGTTGTGACTTTTAAGTTTAAATGTGTCTTTTTTTAACTTCAGATTACTATGAGGGTAGAAACAATTAGGTTACATGATTTGCATTTGTTAGGTAAAGTTCAAGTTGAGGTTGAGCCCTTCACCCAGGGGCTGTGCTGTGTATCCTGACATGTGCCTATCAGGTGAGAGCTTCCCAATCTTTCTCCCTCCTCCCTCCCCTTGAATTTAAGGGTGTTTTTCTCTCCTGTGGGCATGTGGGTGTTTATCTATTGGTTTCATGTTAGCATTGCGTACACCACATACTTGCTTTCCTTTCTCGTGATACTTTACTAAGAAGAATGTTCCACAGCTTTTCTTATTTCTGCTAGAAACCTGTCTGAGGAGTCTTGACAATATCTTCCCCAGGCAGTGATTCAGGATATACTGAAATTAGTAACAAAAAGATAGATACGCCCAATAGAGCAAGAAGACTGGTAGAAAAGGAGGCTAATAAATACGTCAAATTTATACTTAAACGTTTATGAAAGGAAAAACACAGAAAGATCTAGAGCGGACAAAAAATAGAGGCCAGGAGTGGTGCCTCACACCTGTAATCTCAACAGTCTGGGAGGCCAAGGCAGGAGGATTGCTTGAGCTCAGCAGTTCAAAACAAGCCTGTGCAAGGGCGAGACCCCGTCTCTACTGAAAACAGAAAAATTAGCCAGGTGCCTATAGTCTCGGCTACTGGGAAGGTTAAGTTAGGAGGATCACTTGACCCCAGGAGTCTGAGGTTGCTGTGACCTAGGCTGATGCCATGGCGCTCTGGGCTGGGGCAACAGAGTGAGACAAAGAAAGAAAAAAAAGTAAACTAGAGTCATGTGTGGCTGTATACTTTCCGGACAGCCCTTGTGCGTGAGAAGATTGAAAGTAAAATAATCTACTGCAGCCAAATAGCCCAGCTGCACACGGCACCCTGGAAAGGATGCTGTGGGGCTCTGATGCCAAGGTAGAGCGGAGCTCAGAGAAGCCGAGAAGAAGGTAACGGCTGGAGGGGCACAGAGGCACAGAGCCACACAGGAACATGAAGCACACAGGACGTCGAATAGACCATGGATGCCAGACGGGAAAGCTCAGGCAGAAAATAATGGGAGACAAAACTGGAAAGGCAGACAGAGGCTGGACCGTGGCGTAGCTGGAGCCACAGGTGGAGGTTGGTATGGATATTATTTAGGTAATGGAGCAAGGTCTGGATCAGAGAAGCACCGGCAGGAAGGATAACTTCAGAATAAGATTTATTTTGCTTGTCTGTTTTTAAGTATAAATCAGAAGTATTGCCTATACTATCGATCACCCATAGACACCATCTACGTCTCATTTCAGCCTTATTATCAGGGTCCCACTTTTATTCTGGTATCCACTCCTTCCCCACCTGGCTGGCACAGAAATAAGCCTATGCTCAGCCCCAGGTGGATGCTAGGATTTGCATCAGTGGCGCCCCAAGTTCTCAGTCTCCAAACTTGGGCTCCCTGGCTTTGTACTCAGACTGAGCTGCACTGCCAGCTCTCAGGTTCTCCAGCTGGCAGACGGCCCATCATGTGCTTCTTAGATTCCAGACTCATGTAAGGCAATTTCCCTAAGAAATCCCCTCGCAGATTTCCGTCTATTCATCTGTCTATCCATACATCCCTGTTGGTTCTATTTTTCTGAGAAAGAAGTTTTAACTAGGAGTCAGATTAAAACTATTTTATGTGATATCATTAAAACCACATTAATTCATTAATCACTTAACTGTGCTCAGAATATGGCAACACACTCTAAGCCCCTAAGATTTATGATGTCTGTCATCTTTTATAGGAAAACAAAAGGTCTCAGTCTGTAAAACCATATATCTATCCCACCTTTAAACAAAGAAAGTTCATCACGTCATCAACTCAGGTAAAATGTCAGCATTTACAGCATTCACGGAAAAGAAAACATTCATGGAATGAAATGCTCCGAAGATGGCCATCACTTATCTCAGATCGGCTAACCCCAAACCATGCAAAGTATGACAGTTCCACAGGTCGGAAGCTTCCACAGAGCCGTCCACTCTAACCCTTGTGTGACTATGTCAAGAAGAGCAAAGAATTCAAAGGTTGGTTTTACTTTTTGCCTTCTCGCTCTTCCTAGACGGTCGCCAGCGGAGGCGGGTGCGGTGCTCATCCAGGTAAAAGAGCCGGACGAGCCCTTTGGTCCCACGCTTCAGTTTGATCATCTGCGTCCCGGACTGCATTACACTCATGCATCTTTCAACTGCAAAAGAGATTAGACACAGCACAATCAGCGATCACATGAGGCTCCTGCATACACGTGTCCAGGCCTTACAGTCAAATAAAACCTCTGATTCATCCCCTCAAAGACTCTAATGACCAGAAGACAAATTTGGTAGAAGTACTCTGAAAAGAGAGTTAAGGAATTTATGCATCCACCTAAAGTCAGTAAGAAGCTTACTGACAGAAATAAAAATCCTATTCCAGGTAGATAAAGCATTACTGTTTCACTGGACCACATTTTGCTCTGATTTTTTTTTTTTTGGTATGAAATGTTGACCATTTGATATTTCATTTTATCTTCTTAAAGCAAGTTCTCAGACATGTTAAATCCTATGACATTTTGTATAGCCAGTTGTAAAACCATCTTATAACAATGCTTTAAAATGCAATCAACAGAAACAAGAATTGGCAAAAGGCTGACAATTGTTGGATTACGGTTACATGAGGGTTCTTGTTATACATTTGTGTATGTTTTCAAAATTGCTAAGTAAATATTCTTCAAATGTGATCAATAAAATCAAATTTTCACAACTGAACATGAAACATTTGCTGATGCACTCAACTGCTAAGATTTTCCATCTAGAGAAATAACTTGGCAACTGAATTTAGGTAATATCCAAATCACTTATGGTTTAAATTAAAGCTGTCATTTAAACCCACGCTGCTGTGAAATGACCCCTGCTAGAAGTAGATATCTGTCATTTTTGCCTGTTTCCCTTGTGTGGTGACAGCATCCCCACTTTCTTTTGGAGACACTCCTCTCCCGTTTCATATACCTCTAGTGGCCTCTCAATTATCTGAATTATGCTTAAAGCAAAGGGGACTCCCTCCTGAGCAACATAAATCCCGAGCAGATCATTAAACAAAAATAGAATGGGGCCATTTCAACAACTGAGATGTTCCTGGTTCTCCATCCCAAGATGCATCAGTTGTTACAATTCTTATTCTTCCTGAGACTGACAAATTTTTCCATTTTCCTCTGGATTCTAGAAGTAATACAACACCCTTTCACTCTTTTGTATTATAGCTGACAGAAATAGCATTTGTTCACAAAGATCACCCACTAATACATATTCACACTTATAACCATTAAGGAACTCAAAATACCTAGTTTTGAGAGCACAACAGATCAAAGAAGCATGGTAAACAAACTTTAACAACAGCAGACTTCAGCTTCTTTACCTAAGCATTTTGTCTTTACTAGGAAAGAAAGTCTCACCCAACAGTTTAGCATTATATGCACAAGGAACCCATTTTTTGACACCACAAGTACCACTGGACATAGGATACCCATTACAGATAACGTCAGCACAATCAACCTTCACAGTCTACTCCATGAAGAGCCTTTCCTTCCCATAAAAAAATCAAAAACTTAAGTAGCATTTCAGGATTTGATACTTCAAGGAAGGTAAAGTATAGGTTGCTTTTACTCATTCTATCTGACATGTCGAATACCAAACTAATAAAAATATTGCTTAAGAAAACACACAAACTTAAAATGTTTAATATACAAAACTAAATTTGAGGTTTGGTTTCACACAAGACAGTAAATTCATTTAGGCCATTATAGCTATGGATCTGAATTCTCAACAGCCACACTTACCTTTTTACAGCAGTAATTAGAGGATGAATAGATGATAGAATATCAGTATATGAAGGCAAAACCATCAAGTCAAATCAATGAAGCTAAAACTCTCCAAAAAAACCTACTAGAACTTCACTGATCACTGACAATAGGTTACATCAACAAACAAACAGATGTTGACTGGGCAAGGTGGCTCATGCCTATAATCCTAGCACTCTGGGAGGCCAAAGCAGGTAGATTGCTTGACCTCAGGAGTTTAAGACCACCCTGAGCAAGAGTGAGAACCCATCTCTACTAGAAATGAAAAACTAAGGCAAGAGGATCACTTGAGCCCAAGAGTTTGAGGTTGCTGTGAGTTATGATGCCACAGCACTCTACTAAGGGCAACAAAGTAAGACTCTGTCTCAAAAAATAAAATAAAATAAAATAACAAAAAGATGTTTACAGAACAACTCCTTATTCCAAGCATAGGATTATGTCATCAGGATACCTTGTCTTTGCCCCTAAAGGATTTAAATTATAAGAGAATGAAACATCTAAAAAGATGTTTATTAACGGTAACTTAGAGCTGTGGTTCCGCACACAGCCTGGATTTTGCCAGGGCTAGAATTCAACTGCCCAGCTGTATGACTTGGGCAAATTATTGAACGTTGCTAGACCTCATATTCCTTATCTATGAAGTGGGCTTAATACTATCATTTATGACTAGATGAATTAATTTAAGTACTAAAAACAGTGCCTTGCACATTATAAACATGATCAATATAGTTATCTGTTATGAGTTCAAGGTTTATAGTCCCAAAATGCATTGGTGAAGTCCTAACCCCAATGTGATGGAATTTAGAGGTGAGGCCTTTGGGGGTGATCAGGTTTAGATGAGGTCTTAAGAGTGGGGTTCCCCATAATGGAGTATGTTGTGTCCCCCATCACCCACTTCTCTCTCTCTGTTTGTCAAGTGAGGGTATAACAGGAAGGCAGCCATCTGCAAGTCAAGAAAAGAGCCCTCACCAGGAACAAATAGGTTGAGATCTTGGGTTTCTCATCCTCCAGCACCATGAGAAATAATGTGTATTATTTAAGACATCCAGTTAATGGTATCTTGTACAACAACCTGAACTAAGGCACTATCATAGTTTTATTATTATTGAAATCTTTAAAAATAAATGCCAAGTCACAAGTAAAGAACGAAATATTATGGGCACACTTATAACTTCGATCAAATGGTACAAAAGCAATTTATGCAACCAAAACATTTGTGCTCGCATAATATTCTGATTAAAAAAGAGAGAGAGATTCCATACGAGGCCACAGCAAAGGAGACCAGAGTCGGCCGGCATGTGGAGAATGTAGTGATAAGAGTATCAGTGAAGACCCGGGAACAGGAAGCGGTAAGAGTATGAACAGGAAAAAAGAAAAGATGAGCCTCCATCTTTGGAAGAGTGACTAAAAAGGGAATTGACAGGATGTGTGCTTCCATGCGCCAGAGAAGACTGGGCTCCTGGGAGCTAGGGGGTCAGTGTAATAAGATTTTGATCCCCTGTCAGTGAGAAAGTCACAAGGCATGTTTAAGCAAATGATGGGCTGGAGAAAAGATATGACTTAGCAAGATGTCTCTATGGGAAGAGAAAATGAAATAAATTGTTCAAACCTGAGAGGAGAGCTGAATTCACCGCAGCCTCAGGGACCCAGCAGCGAGGCTCACCGGTGTGCCTGGCACAGCTCCTCTGCTCTGTGCACTGTCCCTTCTCTCCCCTTCCCTTTCCCAGCTCCTTTTCCTGTCCCTAAAGTGGAACTGTCATGGCTATCGTAGCTCAACCTTTCAACAGGAAAAGCACAGAGATATAAAAATGGAATTGGTTGCTAGAGCTAATAAACACCACCTACCATTTAGCAAGCGTCAACCAGAAAAACCCAAATATTTGAGAAGGTGGAATCCAACCCCTATTGAGTGTGTTCACACAATGCAGTACGCGCACTTGGCAGAGTCAGAGTGTAAAAGAATACGCCGCTTATATTGTTGCTGCAGTCGCCTGTGCTTTGTCACTCCTTACTCCCTGTCACCCAGAAAATCCATTTGATTAGTCAAACTCAAAAATCGGGTCCCATCTTGACAGCCACCTCACCCAAGTCTTTCTTCCCCAAACCTGAGAGGAAACAATCCTGTATCGTTATAAAGCCAACCAGAGAAGCATCCTCAATCATTCTTTGCAACTCCTTCCAGTGCATAAAAGTCACCAATGATGGAGACAAAATATTCTTCCAGTCTCACATAAATCATGGTATGTGTCAGCATAAGCCAATGTCTTCATGTTCAGCTTCCAGTGGAAATGGCTAACAGCAGGAAAATTATTCTCCACCCATGCCACCCTGGTAGATTCCACAGACGAGAGTAAGAAAGGCAGATAAACATGGAAGAGTTCCAGTGGATTGAAATAACCTCACCATACACATCTCCAATATTGAAGGTTCCCTGAGAAAAGTTTGCAAATGCAGGTTACAAACTCATGGCGGCTGCCATAATCTGCATAATCCCTTTGATTCCACACTGTCCTCTGTGGTTGCATTAGTATTTCTAGAAAACACGTCTATTTGGATACAGTGCGGCAACATACAAGAATACTAAGGGAAGGATACCTACCAGCCCAACACAAAAAACAAATATTGTTTTTGTCTGTTACGTTCCAGGCCTCCCACATGTACACAAATTTGTCGCACAGGTTGAAATCATGATATTTAGGCCATCTGGCACGCTGCTTTTTTGAGTTATATTGTAACAGCTTTCCATGTTTCTACACAGTCTTAATAATTATCATTTTAATGGCTGCCTAAGAGAGCAGCATCAATATTTAAAGAACAGAACAGATGAAAGGAAGGCTATAATCCTAACTTTATTACATAATTAGGGTTTTAAAACTCTTAACAGAGTCACATTTGTAAAATGAAAGGTATGAAAAAGTGGCCTACAAAGTCCTTTGGAATTCAGCTCTTTAAAAGGATTAAATCAATCCTTGCTGCCACAGTTTTAAATAAGCAAATTTCGAATTCACTAAACTCCCCTAATAAAAAATGCTTTTAAAAAAAAAAAAAACACTTCTAAATTGAAGTAACATAATAGAAAGTATGTATCATTTCAGGGAAGATTCCCAAATCTCCACTAAGTATACAGAAGGTTTAATTCTTCAAGCCCTATTTGGGGTGTTTTTGTTTTGAGGGGTTTTGCAGGGGTTTTAGCCATGGAGGCTCTTTTATCCTTTAACTAATGAAGTAGAACAGCATCTTCAAGCCATATTCAAATCAGAGATAATCAATTTCTTTTAGGGATGTCACATTTTGCCACCTGATGCTGACTTTTTACAACAGCTTTAATTGAGCTAGAATTTGTATGCAATAAAATT